ATTCAGATGGGCATCATCACTCAAGTTGCCATTTCTCGAAATCAAGTTAAAGAAACCAAAATGAAATCTGTGACACTCCAAAGTGAAAAGGAGGTTAGAGAGGTATCTACCCCGAGAAGGAAAGTTGACAGGACAACTCACCATCGAGCAGCCAAATGCAATAAACGCACCGGAGAAGGGAGTAGAGGAACCAACTTCTACTCCAAAACATCCAACAGCTGAAGTTGTTCCCCAACTCCCTTATCCAACTCAGCTTTGTAAGGAGCAATGGGAAGCCGGGTTTGCTCGATTCATGAGGTTGACGAGCCAACTCCACCTCAACATCCCGTTAGTGGAGGCCCTCTCTCAAACGCCAAAATACTTGAAGGATCTCCTCGCCAATAAGAAGAAACTCGAGATCATGGCCACCGCGACTCTCAATGAAGAATGCTCCACCATCTTGCAGAGTCATCTTATCGTATAGTAGAGAGACCTAGGGAGTTTCACTATTCCTTGTTTTATTGGTGGCATGTGTATAGGGAAGTCCTTGGTGGACCTAGGGGGCTAGCATCATTGTGATGCCATAAACACTATTAAAGAAGTTAGACTTAGGTGAACCTAGTGCCACTAGGATGAACATACAGTTAGTTGATAGGTCCATTGTGCAAATTGAGTGTTTTTTTATCAAATCCCTCTAATTTGGGTCAAATTGACCTAGGAGGGAGAAAATCCCTGATTTGGGCTCAAATGTACACATTTTACCCCTCATTTCTTTTTCATTTAGCTTAGCATTTCATCGTTCCTCAACATATTTCAAGCTAGGTTGTGCTTGTTTTGATACGTTTCAGGTCCTAGCATGTGTGGAAGGGTCGAGGTCGAATTTTGGGATAATTGGAGGTCAAAAAGCGAAAAAACCAAAGAAAAGTCTGAAGTCGTGACAATTGCCTCGTAGTAGTGAATTGAAGTCGTCCAAGAAACAGCCGCAGTTCACGATCGGACGAGGCAGTTCACGGTCTCCTAGGACCGTGAACTTCAACCAAAAATCGTGAACACCGAGGCGTCCATGAATTGTTGGATTGAATGAAGTCGTGTGGCGTAGATGGTTGTGAATCGCGAGGTGAAGCTCCCTTAGTTAGAGTTTTCCTTTATTTACTTTTCTTTGCTTATAGAGTTCTCCTCAGTAGTCCCCCAGCAATTGGCGTTAGATCTGTGGGGAGGAACCCAATAGGAAGAAGTCGCCAGAAGAAAAAAGAGACAATCGGGTGTTGCCCGGCGAACGATAATGCGGTGGATAGTGTCCTCTAGCTTCTTCTTCTTCATCGCTGGCCCTAATGTTGTCATCATCTTGTCGTCTTCTTGATAAGCGCCAAGTCAGAACTTGACCCTCAAACACGCAGCGAAGCAAGAATGGAAGTGTGAGGATGGATTTCGGACTAGTCGAATAGAGGGTTTGGCGGATAAAACGAACCAAGCAAGCAACTTCAACACGACGGGGAAGAGGCTGGTTTGGGTAGAAGAACACCACGAGATCAAAGGTGATGGGTTTGATCTCGAAGTCTGCAAGTCAAGGATCTCGATCCAAGACCAAATTTAAGCACTCGTGCTCAAGAAAACTCCTCGGAGTAACTTTGATTCAATTCAATGATAACGTGCTCTTTACAATGGAAGAACAAAGCTATTTATAGCCAAATAACATAACCTAATCCTATTAAAACAATGAAAACGAATTCAATTGCAACAAGGAAAGTAATTAACACAAATAACCCAAAACTTGCACGCTAAGTAAGCTGTCCAGGAAACAGCTCAAACAGCCCTTGATGTCAACTTCGTGGCTCTAGAAATCGACCTTCTTGGTTGAGTCGGGTTCAGCCAATTCCTTCTCTTGGTTTAGAAAGTTTTACTATTTCATTTCCAACTCCAAGCTCCAACTGGTCATGCTCCAATCTCCTTGAATCCGAGCTCAAAGTTGGTACCTCAAACTGTTTCCCTGCCTTAGCCAAAAACTGGCAGATTCCAGAATGCATGATAGGGTTTTGATGGCTTTGGAAAACAACCCTCCTGACCTTCTTTCCACAATCCAAATGCATCAAACCATCAACAAACATCCAGGGTTCAAAATAAGACCCTAACCTTGCATTTCCAATGAGAGGTTTGAGAGAAATAGCCCTCCAAAGTACCCTTCCCAAAACTGTCTCAACACTTAGAAAATTTCCAGCCAAGTTCGTATTAACTTGACCCGATCTTTGAACGTTTTGTTTGAGATGATTCAAGGGTGGAATTGAGATCATATCACTTCTCCTACTTCTTCATCTATCGCCGCCACAACAACCGGAGCCAAATCCTGAAGACCCAGATAGTCTCCGAGAGCTGAGAGCTTCCCATCGACTACAACTTCCTCCGCAAGGTCAGCGCCAACCTGACCTTCTTTTAGTTCTCTGCCTCAAAACTTCAACCTTTATCCCTTCACTAGAGGAAAACATCTAACCCATAACCACAAACCAATTACCTCCATTTCCGTACAAGCTTTGAAAATCAAACATCTCTAAAACTGAAACCCTATTGGAATAGCCAATTCCAACAGAAGCTGAGTTTGAGCTCTTTTCACTCACAAAGTTTCTACATTGCCCTGAAAATTCCCATGAGCTTCTTTCGCCCCAAGCTTTATTAGATCGTTGAAAAGTTAACTGGATTTTCACCTACATATCCCAAATCCTACATTGTCTCTTCGCCTCTAATCCCAAAATCTCTCTCTGCCACGAATCATACATGGCGAGTGACACTGTCTACGACGGGATCGTTGGTTGTGGCCTCCTCTCTTGTGACCCTCTCAAGATACCTCCCCCTTCCGTCGATTTCCACGGTAACTTTATCTTTTCCCCCTCTGCTGAACATATGTTTCAGTTCCATCCTCTGTTTTCTCTTAATGGAATTTGGCGAGTATTAGGGAGAGAGTCAGCGCCATGTCAACGCCAAGTCAACAGACATAGGAAGGAAAGTTAACATATAATTAAAATTTTGTATTTGATAAGTTTAGCTAATAAAAAAGAATTTGGCTAATAAATTTTCATTACCAAAAATTTATGGGTCTTTATGTTATAAACGGGTTAATTGCAAGGTTGGTCACTCGGATTATTAAAAACGTTCACGTTTGGTCACTAAAAATATTTAATTCCATTCGTGATCACTAAAATTAGTTAAACATTTCATGTTTGGTCACTCTCCGTCCAACTCCGTTAAAATTTGCTTATGTGGCAGTCAACTCTTATAATTGACCGTTAACTGTGCTGACATGGCAATTAAAAATAATAAAATAAATAAAATTTAATTTTTTACATTTTCCAACTCAATATTGCAATTATTAAAAAATAAAAAATTTCTTAAGTTGCCGCAGGTGCAACAAGCAGAGTGGGGATCTGGGTTCTTGCCACGGCGGCGAAATTGATCTCCGGGACATGTCTCATGATCTGGCTTGACATCGGCGCGACGTTATCGGCAAAATCGAATGGTACGAGGCCCAATTGAGTACCCCACCTTCGAGCTCCGCCACCCCAAATCCTTCTCCAGCAGCTCCAACACTGATGCCTCCGCCACTACTTCCACCTCCGCCACCGCCAACACCACAATCTCCGAGCCACGCTGTCGCTCATGTGAGGTCCGGCCCCGGAACTGCCTCTCTGAGCTCTTCGACCACGACGATGACGGACCAACCGTCGAGTCGTACGCCAAGGCGGAAGTGAAGGCTATGGTCGTCGTCTCTCAGCTCGAGATGCTAGGAGGAGGAGATGAGGAGGAAGACGGGAGATTGTTTTTCGATCTCAAATCCCTTCACCGGAGCAAGCAGGGAGGAAGCAAACAGCGGCGGCCGCCGCATCCTCTCGTCTCGCCGTCGGGCTCGACACCGCCACTATACTTCTCTTTGCCATCACCGACAACCTGTATATCAACCCAATAGATCTAATTTCTTGATTTCCCCTAGTCGAATAGATGAAAACCATAGGTAATTTCTGGGGCGGATAAAATCCCTAAGAGCGGGTTTGTGACGGAGAGACGTATGGATGTACAGCTGGAGAGGTCTGGCAGCAGGATTATGAGCAGTAGCAGAATCAACGGCAGCCGCGGCGGCGGATTTGTAATTCTCATGACTGATTTTTTTTTTCCGGCAGAGGAAATTTTGGGAGAGAGCAGAAAACAGAATTAGAAGCGGGGAGAGGGGGCAGGGGCACAGGGAAGTAGCTGAAATCGATCACCACCTCCAGAACAGGGGAATCGCCACACAGTTTCTTCTCCCCCGAACGCCCGACATCCTCTCCACCAGCACTCTCGATCGATCCGGACTCACCGGGAGCTGCTACGCCAACCATCGACCATCCTAGATCAACCTTCCTCGGCATCTGGTTCTGGCGCCGTCGAAAACTTCAAAATTTAGGTTATGGGTTTGCTCAGCAATAGACGGCGGAGGTGGCAAAGTTCCTGTTCGTTCTCCCTTACACAGTCCCCACCGGCGATTCTCCGGGAAGAAGAAAAGATGGGAATCGGCGAAGAGTATCAAGAGCAGATTCGTTGCCGACTTCGCTCAACGATTCACGGAAACACAGATCCACATTGGAACAGGTCCACCGTCCACGGCGCCGGTGGCGGCAACGACAACTAAAAGAAATTTGTTTTATTTTTTAGTAGTTTCAATAATAAAGTGGAACTTAAAAATTTGAATTTTATTTATTTTATTATTTTTTGATTGACATGTCACATATTTAACAGTCAACTATAAGAGTTGACTGCCACATAAGCAAAAGTTAACGGAATTGGACGGAGAGTGACCAAACTTGAAATGTTTAGCTAATTTTAGTGACCACGAATGGAATTAAATATTTTCAGTAATCAAGAACGTTTTTTATAATTTCGGTGACCAACCTTGCAATTTACCCTGTTATAAACACTTTCTAACCTCGCATAAATACCTTGTTGCGAGTGTCTCAATCAATCCACACTACCAGTTACCAAATCCAAACGCCGCCGCCGGTATGAACGAAATTCCGGAGGAGCTGAAGACGAACATCTTGCGGAGGCTTCCTATCGCAGCATGCATTGCCCGATGCCGATGCGTCTGTAAATCATGGCGGGATCTCCTCTCCGACCCCTCTTTCTTGCGGCAGAATGATCTGTTCATCGGAACTGCCGGTACCGAAGGAAATTATTCGGATTCTTGTTCTGGAACTTTGATTACACTCTTCGATGGCAACGAATTGAGGTCAGTCTACTCTTGCGATACGCTTGAACCCTTGCTTCCCTCCTCCTCGACGGGGATGTCGTTACAGTTACCCTCCGATGGGGACGAGTACCCCAATTTGTCAGTTGTAGGATGTTGCAATGGTCTCCTGTGCCTAGCCACCAAAGAAAGCTTTTACCTGCCCGTCGTCCCGTGTTTGATTCTTTGGAATCCGAAGACCTCGGAAACCAAGGTTCTGCCGCCTACCCTTTTCGACCCGCCTGTGGATTCCGATTGGTGGGTTAGTATAACTGGGTTCGGTTTCGATTCGGAATCAGATGACTACAAAATTGTTAGGCAAATTACATTTGTTGATGACGAATGGGAGGATTTTCAGGAAGTGTACAGCTTGAGGAACGATTCATGGAGAAAATTGGATGTCTCCATCCATTTAGTTGCATCTTCGCGAATACCCAAGCTTTACGAGGGGAATTTGTACTGGTGGCACTTGTTCCTAAAAGCTACTCAGTTTTTTTGGTTCGACATGAGCAAGGAAGTGTTCGAAATGGTGGAAGCGAGCAATCCTGTTCCGGGAGATTGGAAAGTGGAGTCTCTGTTGACGTTGTCAAAGCAGGAAGAGTCGATGGTAGCGCTTTGTTCCGTTGGGAGCAATTCTTGGGAGGTATGGGGGCTTTTGAAGTTATGGGTATCAGAATCGTGGACAAAGTTGTTTACCCTCACAGTCGCCATTCCCCCTGGTGTTGATCACCTCAACTTCCTTGGATTTACCAGAAGATGCAAGTATATTTTCAGAGCATTGTCCGAGCAAGACGATGATGAAAATCCTCAATGGTCCATTACAGTTCATGATGAGGATTCGAAAGTTCAGGTTATTGATATTCAGTCGCCAAGAGCATATACTCAAGTCATTATTTATGTCCCCTCTCAAGTTTCTTTGCGCACGTAGAGTAGTGGACATATGGATCATAGACGGTGTTGATTACTTTGGAGATGTTTGAATAATGTGTGGTCATTGGTAATAATGTTACAGTTCTTTTTAGGGTTATCGTGATTGTAGCTTTTTTGTGTGAAGGTGACGAGATTTGACTACAGCAAACACATTAAGCAGGGGAAAAAAAAGAAAATGCCGGCCACCTCTATTGCAGACGGAAGAAGCATCCCCCCAAAAGAAGGGGACACGAGCAGCCAAGAGCAACAAGCTCATAATAATGCAGCAAACTCATGTCTGTGTCAACCGCATGTGTAGAGGAACAAAGCCAGTCTTGTGCTGAAGGATGGTCGATCTTCCCCTATACTAATAACCATTCTACTGAAGATATGCAAATGAGACCACAACACACCTTGGCAGGGAGAGCTCTATCGTCGAAAGTCCAGTTAAGCTCCCGTCAAATAGTTCAGCAGGTGGCCTGGAGGGAGCTCCACACAAACCACCTAGATGGCGAGTCCATGCCACCGTGAAGGCCACGACGGGACCAGCGTCGAATTGGAAATGCACTTTGCAAACGTCTCCACACTTCGGTTGTATAAGAGTAATTGATACACAGATGAGAGACAGATTCTTCATTACACAAGCACAGACACAGGCAAAATGGCCTCAGCTTCCTCCCAAAGCGTACGCAAATGGGTGTAGAAGGACGAAACATTGAGCTTTTCTTGCTGAAGAGAGCTCACTAACCGTTAAGAGTTCATAAACTCGGAGAGCGTTCCCTCAACCAAAACGCTTCTTGAGATCCACCATATCTCACGGGCAGTTCTTGCATGACGAACACTAGCTTTGACCTCCTTTTTCATAGAGGTTCGAAGTCATCCCTTTTAACAATTGCATAACACCTCGTCCAAGCTTGCTGATCAGAAACCTTCTTGCTCAGGCTTTCAGACAGTGCCATCCACAAAGCTTAATTTATTTTTCACCATCAGAGAATTGGTTATCTCGATTACCCATTCATTGTAGTTCGTTGGCATGAGCAAATCGCCAACCTGAAGTTGTCTGCTCTCTGACGGGCAGAGATATAACACTGTCGACGAACCCTTGTTGCAATCTTTTGAAGGCCGATAATTGTGGAGCTTTTACGTTCTTCTCTTCATTGTCACTCACAATTGTTTTAACGAGATAAAAAAACGACTTGAACTGAACCTACAACTCTGATACCATGAAAACAAAACTCAATAACTCAATCACAAAACATTATATGAAAAAAAAAAACTTTATTTACATGATATTCCGATGCGCAGAACTAATCCACAGGAAAGATAAGTTCTCTCTGGCTGCTGATTTCTTATTATTTCTTGACAATGGCCAAAGACCTTACATTGAGTATTATACCCTTTCGACAATGCTCAACTAGGGTAGAATTTACACTGACATCTAACTTTGGCTGCGTTACAACAATGGGTTGAAGCCCTTATTGTGTCTATGTTAAACTCGGCTTGTCCCTATATAAGAACATGTGAAAAGTCACAACATGCTTGTTTATCTTCAGTATCATGCACATCAAATTCAAAAAATACCCTTTTCGTTTTGTAAATCTAATGATTGCATCTCCTAACAACACAAGTTGTTTCTTTTATGCATGAAAGCTGGGTACACTTTATTGGCCCAAGATTTTCTATACTGTTTCACTATTTGTCATGTAGTGGAAAAACCTTCTTCAGACCGCTCTAAAAAAACCTTCTTTCGCAGCCGGCTCCACAGAAAACACCGAAAATTTTACCCACCCTCACAGCCGTCCATGCTTCTGTATCCCCTTCCCCTCACCTTTAGTCCCAAAATCTGCAATTCAGTCATATCACGTATCTGACAGCTCCGGTTTGCTTCTTTAAGTGGCGAAGCCTTCACAGCTACTGCTGTTAAACACGCCATCGGCCATGCATTTGTACAGTCCTCACCTTACTCCTCTGGATTGAGAGAGACTTCTCTTCTCTGGCTCGACCATTACAATTTCAGCTGCAACTCCTATTTTATTTCTTTGTTTCTCTATTCTCGATTCTGCTCTTCAACCAACCCTCTCTTCCACCCATCGCCTGACCACCCTGAATCTTAGCAGTCGAAATAGGTCTGGATGTCCTGAAGCTCCGTCGTGCAATTCGGTGATAGGATTCAGAGACCTTCCTCTATGGCATTCAAGGGCAGTCGTCAGCGGATGAATCTGTCGTCGCTAGAGTCAATCTGCACCACCATCTCCTCCTCCTCCGTCTCTGTCATGAAGATGCTGAAGTTTTTCAGCAACGATTCTTGATGAACCGTTGCCTCCTTGACAGCAACGACTCATGGCCCCAGTTCTCCGGTTCGGCAATCGTTATCGCAGCTGCATCTAAGTGCTTCATTTGAGGTCACGACCACTAGATCTCAGGTCATTGTCGATGGCAGCATAACGGATCAGCAGCCGGCGGCGGCGTTGTTTAGGTAAGGATAATATCGTGCCGCCGGGTGTGCGGTATGACTTCAAGGAGGAAGATGCGGAGCTGACATCTCGAGTGGTATAAGAAGAACGGTAGTAACGCTGTGAAGTAGTTTATGGAAGCCACTCCATGGAATCTGGCTAACAACCCGAAACGCCGAATCCGTCCCGACGCCCATGGAAGCCACTCCAGCTTGGCAACTTATTTAACTGACGGTGCTTGCTGGATTGCCGGTCACTCTGCGACATGGTACGATTCTCCTCCCCTTTACTCCCATTTCTTCTCTATCTGCACTCCTAAAGGCGGCTTGGCGGCTTGCTGCCCTGCCCTCTCGAATGACGATTCAGTTTTATGGGTTGTGCAAATTTCAATCTTTCTTGCTCATATTTGTATGCTATATGACCTTTCTGTTTGTTTAGTTGCTATTTTCCATTTGAAAGATTTAGGTCCACCAAGAAGGACCTTAATCAGTGCCAATCTTTTAAGATTTCTCTATGTGAAAGTGAATTCTGGTCTGCAGGTGTCTCAATCATTCAAGTTGTAATATCTTACTCATGGTACTTTGTTTGTTTCCAGCTCAGTCTCACGTGATTGTACTCCTGGTGAAGATCAACTTTAATTGTTGGTATCATTGCGAGTCCTCATTGAACTCAGGTTGCTCCACCCCCTCCCCCCTCCTTTTGTTTTCCTTAACATGAATGGCAGCTCTGTTCTTATTGTTCTTCTCATGAATGTATGCTTCCTGATGGACATCGTCTTCCCCTCCCCCCTCCTTTTGTTTTCCTTAACATGAATGGCAGCTCTGTTCTTATTGTTCTTCTCATGAATGTATGCTTCCTGATGGACATCGTCTTCTGCAGGAACAAGTTTGGCAGCAATTGGAGGAAAAAGAAAGCCATAGAACATTCTCTCTATGCTGATTTTCCAACATGTAGATTGTCAGAGCTAGAAGGGAACTTTAACATGTGGATAGATTCGCCAACATGTGGGGATACTTCCTTGAGTTCAAGGTAACGAAACTCAATTGTTTTCTCCTGGTATTTCCTTTTCTTTTGATTACTATTCAGAAGTAACGCTCCTTTCCAATGTGTTTTTCCACACTTGCCCACGATCTGCTCGACCTCACCGAGCTCGAGGTAGGAAGGATTGCAGAAGACCAATCTCAATCGAAGACCATTGGGACAACCACCGCATTGCAGCTCTATCAACCTATTCGACGAGGAAGGCAATCTGAAGCTACATATAGGTATCGACTTCGATCAATCTCTGTCTTGAAAATTTTCCCCCCAGCAGGTCGTGTTGATTATTTTTTTTTACTTTGAAGCCAGTACCTTGCTCTTTTCCTCCTTTCTCAGATTTACAAGACTGATAAGGGCAACCAGAAAGCAAAGAGGGGAAGCGAGAAGAACTTGGAGAAGAAGCTGCCTCCTGCAAGGGTAAACAACCTGTGTCGCTTGATAGACCGATAATTATACATGTTTTCACCCCTATTCTGAAGCCGTTTGTGATGAGGAATCTCGTGTTTTAAGCCGATTTCACGCTAGGTTGTGTGTTTATGTCATATTTCAGGACCTGGCGTTGGAATCGAGGCGGAGAAACGAGTTATGGGTCGAAAGGAGCCGAGTTGGGACTAAGGGGGCTGCAGGAGGAAAATACCCGGTCAGGTGGCAAAATACCCGACCGGCTATTTATCATTTTCGGCACCCGTGAGAAACAGAGGGGGGGCCCGGGCAAAATGGCTAAAATCCCCGGTCGGGGATTATGAGGACAGACCAGGGATTTTCCCTTAAATGAAACGGCGAGTTTTGTAAATACCCGGTCGAAACCCAAAATACCCGATCGGGTATTTCGACCGGGTATCGCGACCAGGCAGCTGATAAAAGGAAGAAGAAGGCCAACATTGAAGGGTTTCGAGTTTTTGAGAGAGAAATCGATTCCTAGAGAGAGAAAGCGACGAACTAGAGTTCCCAAGTGCCATAGCTTGATCTTCATCACCATTGGAGCCCGGCTTGAGCTTGGAGAAGTGCCGATTAACCGTCCAGGAGCAGAAATCCGTCTTCACAGTATGATTTCCGCGTCTGAATCTGCTTTTGCTTCTTTCTCTATGGAGTAGTTCCCCCATTCATCTGGGTATGGGGAACCCTAGAATTGTATGCTAGGTCTGATTGTATGAACCCAAGTACAGAGTTTGTGAATTGATTATATTCGATTGAGGTTTGAATGATTGAATGACTTGAATCCTGATCAAATTCCTGTTGTTTCTGCTTTGACCTAGAATGAGAATATCTGCCTAGGTTGATAGAGTATCCTTAATCGAAGGTGGCGAATTGGTGACTTTAGTCGAGGAGCCAATTCGCTATTCTGTACCGAATTCCATTCGGTAGTGGAGGTTTGGTTCGTTAGGGCCTCAATCTGTTTACTCCGGTGGAGGTTAGTCGCCCGCTAGAGACTCAGATTGAGAGGGTCTGGAGACCTTTAGTCGAGACTTCAGGCTAATTAAGAACCTTAACAGTATAACTTTCATGAAAACTGAACTTGGTAAATTGC